CATTTTCTCGACCGCTATATTTTTTAGGTAGATAAAATTTATCAAGAACATATAAATTTTGCATAACTTCTTCATAATCCTCAGTATATCTATATTCATCTTTAATGGTAAAGGTGTAGGATCCTTTTTGTTCTTCTAGTTTCTTCTTTTCTTTCAATAGTTTATCAGAGATAGGTTTATATTCGCGAAGAACTTGAGTTATGGCAGGACGAAACTTGCTTTCTGAACCCTTCAAAACATCTTTAATAAAAATCTTGTATCAGTAAATATGAGTTTTTTCTGGAAAAATATTTTTGAATCATACTCTAATTGCTGATTTTAATACTGATCAAGAGCGAGCTGCATTTGAATATTTTGCTTGCTCGTCTTCCTGCTCTTTGAGAACCTGTCAACAGAGATAGTTAAACGTTTTTTCTATATCACTTACTGACCTTTCAAAAGGAATGTCCCTGCCTCGCTTAGCAAATTCAAGCGCCATAATATCATAGTCTTCAAATCGAGCATCAACAATGATTTCGTCAGAGATGTTGTCATCAAGATTTAATTCTTTTTTTCGCAATTTATCTTCTATTCTTCTAGGGTAGTCGTTAACTTCAATCTCAAAATACTTATTAAATTCATTCTTAAACACTTCTTGAAATTTCGCCGAAACCCTAATATCGCCATAATCCAAGCGAGAAAGATAATCAGAAGAAAGTTCAATATTTTTTATATTTTTTTTAATTCTAGCACTTTTTGTAAGGGGTTTGTTTTGTGAACTTTCGTCCGGTATTTTTATTTCCTCGCGTTTGTAGTTTGTATATAAATATCCCACTCGAAGATTAGGGTTATTTTTGTAGTCTTCTTTTAAATGTGGTTCGGGCATCCTTAAAATCCGACCAAGGGTTTGGGTATAGAAAATATTGGATTTTATCTCTCTAAACATTACTATTACCGAAGCGCGAGGGCAATCTCAGCCAGTTCCTGCTGCTCATTTGAAGAGCAAAAAGTCGTGTTCATCATCATTATCTTCCAAACCAACTGGTCTTGGATGTTTATCAAATCATTTAGCAATTTTATGTTCAGGAACTCCAGTTCTTAAAAGATGTTCAGTTACGATTTCTTCTTTTTTTCTTTCGCCCCTCTCTACCAGTGATTTTTCATCATTTGGCAACTGAATGAGCATTAGTGGGTTTATTTTTTTTCCTAGATTTTTGAATTCGGCTTTTAATTCTTCTCGTTTTTTTCTGCCAAGTTCAAGCAATTTTTCATCCAAATCTTTTCCACTTAGGTTTTGAAAGTCTTCTTCGGTCTGAGTGATAATAGCTTCTTTGATCAGACCTTGTTGAACTACTTCTTCTCTGGGAACTTCGTAATAACTTTGGAGACGACGAGCCCGAAGTTCATCTTCTTCTTTTGGTGTTGCAGTAACATAAAAAATTATTTTTGGATCAATTAAGTCAACGATATCTTGAGCCAGTTTGGTATCTTTATTTTTGTGGGCTTCGTCAATAATCA